ACTGTTTCATAACTCTGTTTCATAACTCTTGATGGAGTTTTGGGTCACAATATTTCCTAATGCTTGCACAGATTGATCTTACAGCAAATATGATTTTCTTTTAAAGTGAAGAATAGCCTTTCATAGAGGAATACAGATAATTTAAAAGGATTCATAAAGTTTTATGTTACAAGGAGACTTATAAGAGGCACTATATCTGAGGAACTGTAAGATTTAAAAGGAGTCAAAAGCTTGTTTTCTCTTAATTACTTGTGTTTTTATGTGCACAAATACTGTATGTCACACCCATTAGATAAAAGTTTAAACATTGTTTTCTCCATGACAGATTTATATCCTTTATAACTATGTGAATATTTCTGAAAATCAATAAAAGAGTCCAAGGACTGGCCTGAGCTTTCTTAGCCAATCAGAGAGTACAGAATATAAATCATTTTGCATGGGTTTGCTGACATGCCTTTGCAAGGAGAGCATATTGTTGAAGTGCAGAAGTGTGATTTTCTTCATCAGTGCACCTCAATAAGGGCATATGATCAACGTGTGGTCAACGTGTAATTAATTAAATGTATTTTATCTAAGCCAGAAATGTGGAAATGTTCAACAGTTTTCTATAAGGTGTGTGTCTATATGCAATTTCACTTTGAGCTGCATATAAATTTCCATCCATTTGGATTACACAGTTACAACGTAAAGTTGAAAGCTTAAAGTAATGCATATTTGTCAGTCATATATTATTGTAAGGTGAGACACAAATAAGATTTCTGAACTTCTGAACTGAATTTCTGGATAAAAGGCAAAATTTATTATTAGCTATTTTGATTTATTCACTAATCATTTATTTCAAATGCATTTATTAAAATCCATTAGAATCAGTACAAGTCTGTTCATTGTGAAAACAATTACATTTAATCAGTTAAAAAAGTATGAATATGGTCATAATACGATTAGCGGTGAAAAAAAACAACAGTATTCAATTTATTCAAATGTATGAGATTAAAACAAATTGGATTTATTGATGATAAATATAAACCTGGATATTTTGCATTTAAAACACATTCTGTTTATTAGTACTATTACAGAAATCTTACCTGTTGCATTTATGAATGACTGACAAATATGCATAAGATGAAGTTTATGTTAAAACTAATTGTATATGCAATTCAAACACATAAATGTTAAATGTGAGCCTAAATATTATTTTTATGAGTGTGTTCGCTTGAGTAAAAAATGTGTAACAACTAGCCCTTATTTACGTATGTATTACGTTTATGTATACCAGATAATACATACAGAAAAAGGTCTTTGTCATTGCAGCAATGTAATGCTGACGCATAAATGAAGTCTAAGTGTACTTACCCATCACTTGCGTATAAAAGTGATCCCACTTTGATTTAGTCACTAGATAAAACAGGACATCCTGTGTGCCATAAAAGAGAAAGTTCTTCAGTCTCTGCAAGAAATTCATTTCATCTGTATTCTCAGAGACGACTGCAGGGACGTAAGATGGCGGTGCCGGCAGTTGGCCGCAGAGTCTCTCAACAGTGTTACCAAAGGTAAACCTGAGACTGAGGATTAACGGTAGGTTTAGCTTCTGAGCCAGCAGCTCCCCGCACATGAAAAGGGGGTCTGCAAGTAAGACGTCAAACTTCTCTTTTCTCCACTTCTCCAAAAGATCCTTTCTGGCAAAGAGTTCCCTGCACACAGCCTGATTCTGTTCTGTGCCTAAGTCAATCATCTCCTTGACCTTCATTGAAGCCTTGATGATATTGTCATTGGGTAGATCATGAGTCCAGTATTTCAGCATCCTTTCCATATTCTCCAAGATGTCCTGCTTTGTGTGAGGCGCCTGTAGAATATCCACATTGTAGCCCACGGATGGGGTGGTGTTGACAGATGGAGTAGCTGTGTGGGTCACCACTGTGATATTGTGTCCTCTTGAGATCAATGCATCTAGGATGACTTTTACATTGAGCCAGTGGCTGAATTCGGAAGGCCAGACGATGACCTTACCTCCTGACACACACTGCAGGTTCAGGTTCAACAGAAGTAACAGGAAAAGACTGGCACTTCCTCTGGGACTCATGACAGCAGTGAACAACACCCTTTGTACCGACTGAGCAAGCATGCGGAGGAGCTACTGCTGCCTGCACACACAAAAGTTATGCAATCAAATAAAGGGGAAGGTCTTAAACGATCTGGGTGCTCTTTAGTTTCAAACAAATAGCAGGTATAGACTGACAGACGGAAGAGTTATAGACTGATTATTTGTAAGGGATAATGTACATCCAGCCGGTTGTTATCACAGAATAAACCCCAACAGGGTAATCAGGACCCCAGCACATAACAGAGGGCTCTTGCATCACCCTGAAGGGGTTTTATTCTGCCATAACAACCAGGTGGATGTACATTATCCTGCTTATTACATGTTTACTTGCCACATAAGTAAATAATTACACACAAAAACATTGAAACATTAGCTCTTTAAACGCAAAGTTTCACAAAGAAAAACAGTTCCCATTAAATAAGACGGACATTTAAGGCACAATATCACTAATTACACAGTCTTTCAACACATAAAGGTGAAGACATAAAATGTTATATGAGAAGAAAGTGTTTTAAAATCGTACCTGTTTATTATCTTACATTTATTACAGTGTACGAAACAGCAAGTCCATGGTTTCATTTGACAGTAAATACAGTCAATAACTGAGGCACAAGATGATAGTGTGGCAGTGTGATATGAGAGATGTGAATCAAGCTCCAGCCTCAAATACCCGAATGAGTGGTTTGTTATTTGGTGTTTCTAATGGTAATGGTTGTTATGTGGGGAACAACACACCTCAAACTGTCACAACTGACCAATCAGAATCAAGCATTCCAGAGAGCTGTGTAATAAAAGCAGATAATCGCACCATATTGGCTGATTAAAAAGTATAAAAAAGATTAAGTCTCTCTATTAGCACATTCAAATTCTTAGTTCGTTTTTGGCTTGGTCTTTACATGGTTGCATATCTGCTTATATAATTATATTATTTAATTTATTAATTGCACTATATATATATATACTTTTTTTAATTAAAAAAAATAATTTATGCATTTAGCAGTGCTTTTCGTCATTCAGGCTATATATTTTTTACCAGTATGCGTGTTCCCTATTTATTAATTATGTTTTATTATATAGAATAAATAATATTCATTTAAAAAAACATCACTTTTCTGCAATAATATAAGATATAAAGTATCACTACCAGCACATTCAAAAAAGAAACACAGGTTTATTAGTCTTATTTTTAGTTATTGTAATTGTTTTGGAATACTGCTTTTATTTTTCATTGTCAAAAGCAATACATATAGGCATTTTGTTACCAAATTTGCTTCTGTAAATATGAATTCTTTTGTGGGTCACGGACAAAGTGTTTTTGCAGCAAAGAACACACACAACATTCACATGCATAAAGATGAACAAAATATTCTAAGGGTGCTTAAATACATAATTCAGAAATTTTGTGTGAAATATTACACCACAGACAATTATTACAAGCAATTTCATTTTTATTATATAGGCCTAAGGAATCAAAAAAATGTATCAACAAAAACCACTCGCTTGAAAATGAAAAAAAAATATATATATTTTTAAATGCAGATTTATGAATGCAAAAAAAGTGAATAGTGACAAAATAATTACAAACTTAATATGAAAATATAATTTAAGAATAAATAGGCCTAAACAGTTCCAAAAGGGTAATTGGTTCTTCAAAGTGATGGCAAAGGGAACTGTTGGGTGAAATACAGCTGCCCTTATTATACTTTGCAAGGTCATAGTTTAGTTACGAATACTTTTCAAGGAACTTCAACTAGAACACTGGATTGTTTTCATTAAAAGTTTTGGTAACACTTTACTTGAAGGGGTGTGCATAAGACTGACATGACACCTTCATAATCATGACATGACACATGTCATGAATATGAAGGAGGTTTTATGCATGTTTATGACAACTGTCATTAAGTGTCATTCGCTCAGTTATGTCATTTTTAATGCAAATATGACATTATTTGACCTAACCCTCCCCCTACCCTTACCCCTAACCATAGCCCATAACAAAGACATCTCAAACAATGTCATTTTTGCATTAAATATTAAATAACTGAGTGAATGACACTTAATGACAGTTGTCATAAACATGCATAAAAAAACCTTCATATTCATGACATGTGTCATGTCATGATTATGTAGGTGTCATGTCATGATTATGTAGGTGTCATGTCATGATTATGTAGGTGTCATGTCATGATTATGTAGGTGCCATGTCATGATTATGAAGGTGTCATGCCAGTCTTATGCACACCCCTTCAAGTAAAGTGTAACCAAAATA